GTAAAAAAAAAAAAAAAAAAAAAATTGTAAGAGTGACGGTGTCGTGCGCGCGTGGATAACAGAGAGAGAAAATATAAGAGAACGATAGAAAACGGGTATAATGTATAATCTGAAGCAAGGGAGAATAGCGACGATCCGATACACGAACAATTTAATTTCTACGGCTGTCCCAGACTGGAATTGGCTATTGGGCCTTATCTGCGTACGTGTCTTCACGAAATCCGGCATCCACACTTTCGGCCTTTTTCCGTGTATCGTGGGACTCTTTTCTTTTTTATTACCGATCATCGCTCGACTTTAATGCCGATCGGCACTGCCGTCGCAATAGTATGATGTTGATACGGTGAATTCACTTTGGCGACAGTTTCGAATGTCTCGCACGAGCGTTCAGCTCGCTCGTGCTTCAACTTTGAACTGAACTGAGACGAATATGAGACCGCAAAAGAGTAGTCGGATCCGGTCTGAATGCGGAACAGTGGGTTTTGGGGTCGCGAAAATATAACTTTTTCAAAAAAAAAAGTTATGACGAACTAAGACGTTTCTTGAAATATTACGAATACCATAATGTCACAGGACTATGCATAAGAGAAACCCGTTGACTTTTCGGTAAGGTATGAATGTAAATAAAATTTTGAAAAATTTTTTGAAAATTTTTTTTTCTTAAAAAACTTCCCAACTGTTCTTGCACGTTGGACAAGCGTAAGAAAAAAAAAAGACTTTTTTTCATTCTGACCAAAGTAGATGCTTAAGAATACTGTTAGCTCGTCCTGTCGTAATCGAGATCTACGTGGGCACACGTTACGGAAGGCAAGTGAGCTATCCTTAGCTATTTTTCTTTCGAGAGTGTATCGAGTATCAGTATAACTGCAACAAAGCCGCGAAAGAGGACCACGAAGTAACAGCGGCCTGTTGTTACAGTGTTAAAGACTGAAACAGTGAAAAACTACGGGGTCGTCGTACGTGAAGAAAACCATAGTATCCCAAGGTCCTCGAAGAATAACATTAGGATGTAATACAAAAACTATACTAATTCCCGATCTCCTGTTAAATAACCCAAAGTGTCTTTGTATGCATAAAAACCGGCAATATCGCAATTGCGAGCGTCATTTAAAATAATTTCAGTAAAATGTAGAAAAAAAAAATTTCTTACCTTCCTCAATGGATAGACAAGTCCTTCGAGAGTCCCCTTCCTCCAAGAAAACCCAAGTGAACCGTAAAAATCACAGAACACCGAAAAATACGAACGCGCGATACCTTGATCTTCAGTCCCACGACAAATCGGGTACGATGACCACGATAAAGGATTCAAAAAAAAAAAAAATTTTTTTGAAAAATCGATTGTCAATAGTGAAAAGAAATTTAAAAAATTGATGTCGAAAAAAAATTTTTTATTCACTCAAATACGTATGCGACTTCGATAAGGAATGTCTAAATATGTACCGGCGATCGATCCGAAAAATCTTCAAAGCGTTTATACAAAACCGGAGGATCGCGGCTCGCTATCAAGAGAATGAAGGCTTTTCTTAAGGCAGTGCCGTACTTATGCCGTGGCCCCCACTCCAATAGCGTAGCACGATGTCGTGCCTCGGCACGAAGTACGGGGACTCTTGGTTTCTCGGCTTCTCGACTTCACGACTGGCAATAGCCACTTTAAGAAGAGCGGCGACTGTTACGACGGACGAGCGTAGCGTCAGGATCGAGGTAGCGCTACGCTGAGGGAAGCCAGCGCTACGCTGAGACGCGTTACCGGGGAATCGCCGAGCTGATCGAAAAGAATTCCATCTGTGTATACCGAGTGACTGACAGGATAGTTTCGTACGCGGCCTTTCCGCGCGGTCCTACGTGTAATCATCGATACCTAACCTAACAGTAACGCATCGCAGTCCGACACACGCGTTAAGGCTATTATCGCAAAGGACAGCGAGGAACGTATACGTTTTCCTAGTTTGGAAATAATCATATCGCCAACCGTGTATACGGAATTTCGCCTTTTGCGGCCGCCAACAAATGCCGACTGTTCCCGATGCGGTTTTCCTATCGCGGTTATGGGTTAGCTACGGTCGATTCTCATGGCGCGACACTTATAATAAAATAGGTGAACACCGTTCGCGGTCGTTGAAACTTTCATGAGAACCCACAGGAATCGAACATCGATCAACCCCTGGTGAGGATGACGACGATCGTCAGGATTTATCGGTATAGCCACGCGCTCGTTTGCTCTCACTCGGTCGCTTTTGTTGATACTCGCCTTTATGCGCGCTGAATCCTTCCCGTACGATCATTTTCATTTCTTCGTACCGCACTCGTTAGACTTTCATTGGCTATACTTAGATATTTTATATGCGAATCGCATTACTTTTTTGAGAATCGATCGACGATGATTGACACACTGATCCTTATGCGTTTACTATTATATCGGTGAGAGGAAGTATTTTTTCTTTATTATTATTTTTTTATTAAATTACACAGGTTCCCCGGTATTATAACCATGTTTTAAGTAATACCTATAGCCAGAGGAACAGCTTTTAATTATACTTAGTCATATGTAATTAACGGCGGGGATAATTAGCTCGTGAAAAATGAGAACAGTGAGGAAATGTCTTACGAAGTCAGTAGTAGTTAACCATGCAGAGAGCCTTCTAAAAATGTTGAAATTCATTCAACGAGGTTCCGTGTAAAAATATCTTAATACCATATTTACCCTGTTAATGGTTACGACGAGTAAATTACATGGGAGTTAGATTGAAATAAAAATTATCCCTCGTTATCCCATGCGCTTTAGCTACCACACACAAGGAATATATTAGTGTCCGAATGACTATTGCTAGTGCGACGTCGCATCAAGTTAGCTTAACCCAGTTTACCTATAAATCCTTCAGCAAGGCAATCTAATGCATGGATTGCGTGTCAGAAATTGTATGTACATCGAGGCAGAAGCAACAGCAACAAACAAATTTCTAAGTCCAAGTCCAGAGAGCGAAGCATCGAAAAATTGGCTGGCAGGGCATTAGTAACCGTGAAGGTTATCGGTAAAATGGTAATCAGGTTCGTCCGCATTTGCTTGTTAGATTGCTCTCACGTCGATGCAACATGTAACTCTAATAATAAAGCGGCAAATAGCAGGAAGGTATTGGCAATCGGCTATGCCGTAAAAGAGGAACATCAGTTACTCACTCTTTGTCAGCAACGTGTCAGAAGCCCATTCTCTGCGTGTGGAACAGCAACTCATACTTGGACGTTGCATGCTATTAGGTGAAACAGCAGGCATTGTCCATTAGTTGTAGACAAATATACGGCTGATCGTAGAAATCGCTGTTGTCTACCATTTGCTTCGATGACGCCTTTGCTGCATGGGACGACAGAGACGACCTGCGGAGACGAGAAGTATAAGAATGACAGAAGACCAGGCAGGCACGAACTCGATTAAAAGATAAACAAAGCTTACCGTCGGGTAGTGGCAGAAAAACTGGGATATTATGTTCAGTTAGCAGTGCACGCATACTCTAATATACTTATAGAGTAAATTATTACAATTTTGACTAACCGTCAATTTTAACCGGCGCCGCCATTACCGAATGATTTGCCCCAGACGATGCGCGCGCATGTCTGGTAATGAATTCCCGTCGGCTTATGTAGGCTAATATGGCCGGCCGTCAAGAGCGGTACGACTGCGGAAAAACAACGTCTCTCGCTGGGTATACGTTAGGTACCATAAAACGGAATAGAAACGTGTATTAAAAGAAGCAGGTGTGGATACATAAAGGAACGTGAAGTTGGTAATGAATCAGTGAGTCGAGGCGAAGTTAATAAACGAATAGAAGCTGTACAGTGTGAGAAGTGGGGTTATGTTGACTACTGTGTATTATATGAAACTTACCATCACGGCACTTTCGACCTTCTTCCTCGGTAACGGCCTCACGAATGGAGAGCAATTTGTCCTGATGTCCTTAATGAAGCTAATTGAATATTCTCTTGTAATAGCGCCGGCCAAAAAAAGGAAGAGAAAAATGAAAACAGGAGAATCCGTGAGCTCTACTGAGTGAAAGAGCACACACTGGGAATGAAATTAATGCTAGGCACGCACGGTCAAGGTATTTCAATGGCGTGTCTCGGTGTCAGAAAAAACAATGGTTAAAGGTGGATTTTTATAATTAGCACCGTGCAGCTCCCATATTTCTGTTCCTGTGGCTTTCGATCGACATATGCACCACACAGAACGTAAGTACGTAACATCATACCATTATCATAGAACGCTTCTGCTAGTACGAATACGAAAGGACACCTCAAGGCCCGTTCACAAAATAGACTAATTATATATGAAAGTTATTTATATTAACAAGACGAAGTTCGTTTATAGACATTATAAATATCGATATCCAAGTCGATCGATCGATTCATAGATAGCTGGTGCAGTAGTATATACAGAGCGACATACAGTCTAGCTTCTTAATCACGTTTTCATCAAGCGACCAAGTGGCTGTGAAACACAGTAAGGGCGGCCTAACATGCCCGCAAGTATATTTGCAGAGATACGAAACGACAGATGATACCTAACGAGGTGTCCATTCGATTACATGCTTTTTCACTCCTCGTATCCAGGCCGCCATCTTTTCATTCTCTTTCTCCATCGAGTCGATTCGTTCTTTCGCTATCTTTCGCGCACTCTCCATTCTGTGATTCTGATACCAGTCCTCCATCCGCGACAATTAAAGCCGATTAATTAATTAAGGTAGGTGTAGCGCCATGATAGAAACAATTAACGAAAAGCCATTTGCATTAACACGCGCATGCGCACAATACGGAAGACGTATGCGCGGTTAATTTGAAACGGCCAAGACCGATGTATCTCCTTACTTGGTATGGCATTTCGAAATCTTTTCGAATTAAGTATCCATGACAATTACCCTATTAAATCTCACGGCGTTTCAAGTTCAAGCCATTACGTCCAAGATTTCACGTGAACCCTTGCCCATTCTCAAGACAAGAGAAAAAAGGAAGACAACGGAACGCTGCAGAAGACACGAGAGAACAATGCCGGGCACGGCGTTAACCCGTTTACTATTACCATGGCCACCTCTGTGTATACCGATACTGTTACCGGTCCGTATCAAGATAAAATTGCGACCATTCCGAACCCGCGGCACGTCAGGATTCTCCTTATCTTGAAAATCAACGTGGCGCCCTCTCGGATACACGGCTCCACGCTGTATATTTATACGCTAACTGTAAAACGAGCTGCATTTAAGCACTTTTAACGAGATTTCCGTAGCTCGAGCGCTCTTCGCGTTTCCGTAAGTTTCTCGCGGTAATTGCTCCTCTTGTACAGTTGTAATATTAAGTAATATTAAGGAAAAAAAAGATGAGAATAAAAATACGAAAAAAATATATATTTACAAGAACAATACCACTTTCCGTCTTAAACTCAACGACTTATCTTTTCATATACTCAAACAATGATCAATTTAACATAAAACCGTTGTACGTAATACGATTAAACATAGATCTATTATTTTTAAAATTTAATTGATTTTTTCAGAGAATTAATTCAAATTACCTTGACGTTGCGTATCGAATTTCTTATTCCGTGTAAAATCAGACGTCTTCTTGTCGCCTGATTGAAAATCAACTCGAGTACAGTTATACACATAGTCACATATACGACAGGAAGAAATGAAAGAGTAAGAAAAAAAAAGAACAATAATAAAAAGCAAAGAAAAATCCATCGTCCAGAATGCCCGGTGCTCGCGACATTCTGTTCCGTCCTGATTTATTTAATTTATAGACGGTTGCGCACCAACGTTTTTGCACACACGGAGGGGGCGGCCCAGGGGCGTACAACAATAACATCACTATAATGCACTTCCTCGTCCAGGTATTCATTTAATTTATGAACGTTCCACAATAGTTTTTATACTGTTGCAAATAAACTCGCCCTAGCTTCTACACAGTAAAACGGCATACCGTCACGACATAACTGGCACCTATTAAATTAAGGGAATAAATTTACAGCTGTATACAATTTTTCTTGCGACACTTGGCGCCATTTTCAAATAGCAATTTCATCGATCAAGGATCGTAAATCCCATTTGTACTGCCGGCCCATCGTCGTGCCGTGCTTGTTGCGACTGTCGTTTGACGTACGTGCTTTTTGTATTTCTATATCAAACGTCCATTTAATATCTGCAGCCAAACAGTCGAAGTCAACGAGTATCGTTCTAAAAAGTAGAATATTGACGTACGAGGTCTTGGCAATTACTTTTGTAGCCTCTTGCTCCTCTCTCTTTGTCTTCGGACGTTCGTGTCTTACCTACAGCCCTGAATGTGCACGGGTGCAACAAACGACCTTGCACAAGGAGAAGCGCGCGCCGCTACACAACCGGCAGTTAGTGTCTCAATTTATCGGTTGGGTTCCGTCGCTAGGAATAGATATTTTATCTAATGGTCTTGCCTAGATCGATCGAGAAGGAAACGTCAGATTAGAGACGCTGGCGATCGGTGATGTTGCTTAAAGATTTTATATATAAATTGACTTAACCGTTTGACATATCATGTATGTATATATAGAGTGGTACGGTACGGGATCGTTTATTTATTAGTCCAAGTATAAGGTTCTTTGAATACATAATGGTATGATACACGTTTCCTTGTGAAATTTCAAAATGGCGGATGACGGTAATTAAAGAAATAATCAAGATGGCTGATGGTCGTTTTATGGAGTTATTTATGGTAGGAAATGTAAATTTTCGAAATATTGAATTAATGGGGTTTAGAGAAAGGTCGACTTTCGTTAATTTTTTTTTCTTTCTTGAATACACACGTACGCGTAGCGACCACTTGCGATTTATACCGAACAAGGTCGAACGAACCAATCATCGATCCATTACGGATGCCGGACTTTATCCACTTTACAGGTTGAATGTGATCTGCAGTGATAGTAATGCGTTCCTCAAATTGGCAATTTTGCGCTACTAATTCAGAGCGGAAGCTGCGGATCGGTTGATTATCGTAAATTGGATGTGAACCCGACGGAGGCAGTTCTCGTGGATCTTTGCGATGTCTAAGTGGATTGGAAAGATCAAAATTATTAAAAAATTTTCACGAAAATTTCCGAGTGCTAACGCGGCACTCCCTGTATTCAAAAATCAGTGATTTTCGTGACTGTTTATTCGCGAAAGTACCTGCAGGGAATTCCCCCTTCGCGTCATCCAGTTCACACCTGACAAGTCTTATTCACAAGGGAGCGACAAGAAATCAATGAACTTCAAGTACGTGACTCTCACCGATGTACAAATTTCTAAGAAGTACAGAAAATAAGAAAAAAGGTATCCTGCGGTTGTTTCCATCGCCGGCTAACAATTTTACAGTAAAACCGCAATCGCTGGTAAAGGACTGTGCGCTCTTCCGCAAGAGAAACGCATAGGGGAACTTTCGTTGGTGAAATAGGGGAAAAAAAAATTTTAACAAATTCATGAAACACAAAGGAATTTCGATATCCTCACGATAAGAGAGTAACGAGGATCTATCGTTATTAATTTCTTTAATTTTGCACTCTCTTTTTAATTACCTTTTGATTCAACTAACACGTTCATTTACATTTTCATTGGGTTCCACAGCCTTCCGAACCACCGACAAACGAGCGTTCTCCACGTTATCCAGAGCTCGTCGCGCCAGAAGAGAGAAGAATAACCGTGGCAGATGTTATCGACTCGATTGTATACGAGGATGGTAAATGTAGAGATATGTGTATATAAGGTGAAAATAAAAAATATATCTGGAGTAAGATCATTTTTTACGGTACCCACCGGTCGATCCCTCTGTGTCCACTCTCTAGACCCAATCACAAAGAGGGGCCTCAACTGTACGATCTCTCCTGCGAAAGACGGTAAGTTCGCTGATGGAACTGGAGTGACGGTATTGTATGTTCAAAAGTATTTGAAGTATGAGCCTTACTTATTTTCGTACCGAACATTTCCCTCACGTACAACCCACATTCCCTCCCCATTTCTTCATCCGCGTCCTTTCCCAACATTTTAATATATTTTTTTTTTTTTACCAACCACTCGAGCCAATCAACAACAGCAAAATTTTCGTTTTCCAATCGCCCCGCGACGTGACTTACATGTAATCCGTATTCCATAGAGTCCATGTTTCATAGTTCATATATCATACATATTCCATGGTCCATATACAGCATCATGCATATTCCTGCTACTTACGATTTTTTCGAAACTCCGTTCACGACTGCTGACGTATTTCACGGAAAAAATAGGAATCCCAAATTTAAAGGAATAACCGATACTGAAATTTTTAAAAAAATATTTCTTTTATATTTCGCTGATAATAAAATAAAGATATTTAACACAGTGCATTAACACTATTGGTGCTATTAGACCGCACTTAAAATAGTGTATATTATTTTTATAGGTATTTTAAAAAATTATTAACTAAATATATAGACACGAATTTCGCAACCAGTTTATAAATCATACTTTATCATTTTTTCTTTTTTTTCTCTCAAGTGAATAATAGCCCATCTGTCTCTTATCGTCAAGATAATAAACGGGTAACGGTACTGGCGCGCGATAGTAAGCAGAGACAAATGAAGAATGAAAAATCAAAATGGGACCAGCGAGCAACGCTATTATTTACACATGTAGACGTCAAATTAAATTTCACTCTGAATCCACGTCTGTGGGTCAGAGATCAACAATCTTAAGGTGGGTTTATACTGGAAAAAAAAGTAAAACTCACTTTCCATAAAAAATTCTCGTTTACATGCGTGACCGAATGCCAACAAGTATTTACACATAACCTCAAATTATAACGTCGTTGAAAAACAGTAAAAGGACAGCTCAATAATGGTCGCCAGTTCTGATACGTACATACGCACTCGCCTTAATTTTTTGGGCGTCCATTATTCCTCTCAAATTAATTAAAAAAACGAAGGCGTGCCGTTTACAAGGAGTTTACGAATTTAGATATATTTATAAATAATTTGAAAAATTCTCTCGCTAAGTTCGCGTGAGTTATTACCCTGCAGTATTATTATACAAGGTATTCCTGGATTTGGCAAAATTCATTTTGAATTTTCCCTCGTTAACCCACTGTACACGTATTATAGCTATGTACACATGTATACAACACCAGTCCCCTGGCGTTCCAGCCTAGTACCTGTTCCGGTAAACGGTATTAAAAATGTTAAACGTTCATTACGCTGAATATTTATGTCCCCGGTACGCGTTCCCGTAGGGGCAAAGCATTTGCCGTACAGAGAGCAAAATAAAAGAAAAGAAAGAAAAAGAAAACGAGGATCGTGAGAAACGTGTGAAAATTGCCATTATATCGTACAGCATGTGCGCGCATTGTTTGCTCTGTTTGCCAGGCGTTATTTTACGTGGATTATTTTATTATTTAATTTCTCTCCTTCGCCCCCACTTCCCCCCGTACTTACATTTGCGTTAAGGCGGATTCTCATCAAGCGAAACAAAGGATACCTAACCTCATAAATTCCTAAGGTATTCGTTTTAGGCGGGAAAAAAAAAGAAAAGAAAAGAAAAAAACCGGTAACTTTTCAATTCGTAAACACAAAAAGCATACGAGAATCATCTGCTGGTACTGGCAAAATTTTTGCGGTACTTCATTTTTTTTTACTTCAAATCCCGTGCATTGGAATACAATGCTGTGAGAATATTTCGTTATACGGCTGAAAAAAAAAGTGGCGCGTGCGACTCGACGCCACGCTCTGCACTGCCCGCCTCTTTTATTCATCTTTATTTCTCGTTCCCTGGTTACTCATACAGACTACCGTTTCCTCGGCGAAGGTTTTATGCTCACATTTAACGTTGGGCCCTGGTCCGACGATCAATGACTATGACAAGGCAGTCGAATCACTTGTACGGTATAGACACTATAGAAGGCTGACTTATAACGTAACGACTAGGATCAATTGATTTCATGGAAATTCACAGTGGATCACTGATAGGATCAATGGAGATGATTGAATTAGAATAACAACAGCTTGCTGACGGTCGTCCTGCCAAAGAATTTTTGTATGTCTGAATCAACGCCAATTGACTCGGTACGAATTCTGGTGCTTGGTGAATTGAGAGGTGGAAAAGAAGAAAAAAAAATTAATAAAATTCACATGAGGTTTTTTATGTGTACTATAAATTATTGTTATATGCTTACTAGATCTTAGATCTAATACAAACTGTTAGATTTTTACTGTCCTATAAAATTTGTTCAACGAACATTTTCTAGCAGCTTTCTTCAAAGAGACAGCGATCTCGATTAACATCCCACTCTTAATGCTTCGATAGGTCTTACTTCTTAGCTCCGCATATTTTGATGTCAAACTCATCTGGAACAGTCGAAAAGACCTTTCGAGTCTGTTATATTTCTGACAATGAGAATTTCTCTTATTTACGTTTTCAACTAGACGCGGTTGAGTAACCGCTAATTAAGTGAGTCGCAAATAAGAAGGAAAGAACTAGATGAAAGAGACGGAGGAAATAAGTGGAGAAAGAAGGATGAACGAGGTGTCTTGGGTATGGGTACTTTCGAGCAACCTTGAGATGTGTTGCAACACCCAATTTATTTGGTATCACGTTCAGAATGATAGTTGCTTTAGGAAGTGATCGGCTGTCGTTTCTCTACATTTTTTTCCATCTCTTTTCTTTATCATAAATTACTAACCCATTTCGTATTCTCTCTTAGGCTTCACCTTCTACTTGGCTCTCCTCCGTTCAGCTTTTGACACTTTCTTCCTGTTCGCCGTATGTACGTAGAAGCTTCCATAAGGCACGCTGAAAAGAAGCATACGGCTAGTATATGCGAGAGAAAGAGAAAAAATGGGGAAGGGCAACATTCCGATAAGTTGACCGTGTTGGGCAGTTTTATTGGTTAGAGAAAATTAAAAAAAAAAGTCAATAGAACAAGATAAGAGAATAAATCAGATACTTGTATCTGATCCCATTCTATTGATTGGATAGAAAAGTATAGAAATTCTTAGGTATGTGCAGATAAATATAGATAATGATACGCCGTCGCCATAGCCGAGTCGGATACTCGTAAAGGCGTATTTGTAATATGGGTTGAAAATGTCTGGCGTATTTCTGGATACGCACGTCTGCCAAAGATTTCTCTTTTGTGAGAATGAAAAATAAATAATTCAAACTCTCACTTATTTACCGTACAGAAAAGGATAGTAACGCGGTGAAATTTTGATCGATCTTATATATATTGTAATAAAATGTACATAGAAAATATAAAAAAAAGTCATCTATAGAAAGATAGACGCGCGTGCCATTCGTTATGTCCCTGTAGCTTCCGTTATGAACCCTCACGTAGGAGACCCGCCTTAGCTGATATCGCGGATTCTTTGAATCACGTGCGAACCGCAGAATAAAAAATGTTAAGAGAAAGAAAAAGAATTCTGCACGTCTCGAACCTCTAAGAGCCGTACATCTATAGTGTCGATGAATTTAATGACCGAGAATATAACGGCAAGTGCCGTATCAAAAAGGTTAAGAAAAATGCCTGATTGAGGCGCGAATCACTGACACATAATAGGACATAAAATTGTTAATGGGATTGAGGATATAAAAATGTAAATAATTCATGAGAATAAATCTATCCTGCCATTTTTTGAGTAATAAGTAGTCTGCGACCTCTAAATGTCAGCGAGCAAACAGCAATTACGCTCGAATAAGTGAATTCGAGTGAAACCAGATGAAACAGAAGAGATTCATTAGACGAAGCATTACCAACTGTAATAGCAACGGTTCATAGAATCGTTGGAATTTGGAAAATGGTTAAAACTAAACGTAACATCGATGGATCATTTGACCCTTCTAATGTCAAAAATACGTTTATAAGAAATTGTAGGTATGTTTAGTATTAATTGTGCATTAAAGAGAATTCACATCAATGGTTCTAAGGACGTGTCAATCTTTAAGAATGATTTGAATTCTGCCTTTACAATTGAATTTCATTAGCACCTTAATGATACATTTATGAAACTAATAAATAAATTATACATAGCCATATGGCCTGCAGGCTTGTTTTGTTTCTTCTAAACTTGGGTTAGGTTCACTGCTACGGTATTACCATACTTAACCTACATAGAAGCTTGCTTGAATATACAAATATATCATTACCTTGTACGTATTGGTACTACTGGAATTGAGGTTCCCCCGTACACACTACACTGAGCACATTTTATCTCGAGATACAATATGGAAAATTTCTCGTAATTTTCTGCACTATTTTGCAGCCTTTTCTACTGCAGACAAGATTCGTATATGCATAGTTAACGAACCACAGGCTTTTACCAACTGTCTTGAGAAAATCCACTGTACAATTATTCGTGCGATGCTAGGTTATACACAGCACTGCGTATATACATTGCTGGAATTGATGCTTGTCTTATATTAGATTTAGCCAGTGATCACCCTGGTTCACTGACACTCGGTCGGTTCACTATTCTGGGGAATTGACGGAGGTTTATCCTGTTTCAGCACGATTCTGAAACGTTGTACTCACGATGCGCGAAGGACAGTTTCTTGAAAGGAGACACTGTCGTGTTGGACAGAAATCCTTTTTTTATATGGATCTTGACTGTTCTCGTCTTTTGTAACACCATGTGGACAGACACTTCAATAACGTTAAAAATGTCTAAGAGAATTTCATGGAACCGTGAGACGCCGACGAGATTCATGCGGTGGCGGCGAGACTGGCGGCCATCTTGAATATCGTAGTGTCACATGGGAAATAACTTGAATTCTATTGGTCGATTCAAATTTTCATTTCGCATGGGTATAACATTTTCTTTCTGTACGATATTCATTTCTCAATTAAGGAAAATGGCGAGATGTTGTTTACCGTGGTATTGGTTAGAAACATTTAGATACAACGACTCAAATAATCGATTGTTACAAGATTTTTTTTTAATAGTCCAATCACACGCATTGTTGAGTATCGTACAAAAGGTCTAACGGAAGACAATAAACCTAAACCATGAACCGGTTGACGAATGGTGGCCGTGAGCGTAACATTTAACCACCAAAGAAGCGGTTTGGGCCTATTGTGAACAATGGAGCCCATAATTCCCGATAATTACCGTCAACCCATGCCGGCTTCTCTAACACTATTTTTTCTAGCTGATTTTCACGAAAGGACGAGACGAACAAAACCAGAAACTAGAAACAGCGGGAAAGCCCCGTCGTGAGAAATCAAGTAATTTCATAGATTCCCGCACTTTCTGGAGCGTGATATTCAACCACTCCTTAAAACGAGACTTGAAACGTCGCGGAACATGCAAACTCGGCTTAATCATACCTGTGTGACGTTAGCCTCCACGTTTTTAAAAATTAAAAATTTTTAATTTGAGATAATAATAATTGAAAAAAAAAAGTGAAATAAGCCGCAACCCCCCTTATGTCGAAAATCGTATTTTTAAAAATTGTTCCTAATATTATTCCAAAAAGGCACGGCCATATACGTAACCATTCATTCAGAAAATACAGAAAAAGATTTATTCGAAGCATAGCCTTTCAAGGGGTGTCGCGGATTATTTCACTTATTTCTCAATTATTACTGCTTCGAAACAAGTTCATGTACTACAACCGGAGCAATTTGGAACAAATATAAAAAAGAGGGGCTAACTTCACACAGGTCTTAATCATGGAAACTTTAAAGGCGCCCGTATGTGAACGACGTATATGTTTTCATGCAATTTTCTAAATCATTATTAACACTCGCACATATAAACACGATTCCCGCTAAAAATTAACATATTAAATTACCTTTTAATTAGACCTTTCAAAAAGATGCATAGATCTTTCCCCGATTCCATCGCGAGTAACGAGGCCGTGGTTGTGAACGGTGCTTTATAGAAATAATTTCTGCCAGTTTCGGTTAACGAATTCGCACAGTAATTTTATCATTTGGCAACACGATTTATTTAAAATGTATTAATGTCTCTTTTGAACATTTATGGCCGTAACAAGATAATTTTTTAAGGATACTAACTGATTATCGTAAACTGTTTAAATATAAAAATCTAAATATCGCACTCGCGGATTCACTCCAACAGGAATATATCGTCAGACATATCGTATTTCAAAGATATCGACACACAATGCCTGTCAAAAATTAAATTGAACTTTTGGGACTGACAACGTAAATTCCCACGAGTTCCGTTACCTGGCGAACAATGTCAAAATATATTTTGATCCGTTAACGAATTCCACCTATTACGTCGACACGCCTCGTATTCTATTTGAACATGATTCAATTACTTCCCAAATAAGAATTGCCAGCACGTAATGCGAAACCGATTTCAGCTTCACTCAGATTCGTAACAGGTACGTGAAATTCCAATATACACAGCAATAAATCGAACCGAATCACCCATCATCGAGATGATAAACCAGTAGTAATTTTTTCATCGATTTTACAAATTACCATTAATGACACCAGCTGGCGCACGTGCACAAAAAAAATGTAACCGAACACGAATATTTTCATAATACCATAAATCAAAGATTTACCCTATTATAATAGTAAATTATCCAATCAGTTAAGACAACCAGCTAGCTAAATTTATCATTGAATTAAAGGACATCGATACGTCTAATAATTTATTAACCCAGCTTCGTAAACAGTTCGCGAATAAAAAATTTCGCGAAATAAAAATAAATTTTCACCTTATTTTTCAATTATTCACATTTAATCAAAATGATACATTTTTTTCACTTATTTCTCATACGGTATCGCGCACTCGGATAACTGTGAAATATTAACAGTGCGATTCTAACCTAAAAAAAAATTCTAAAAATAATTACAACGAATGAAGATCCACAACCGTGAAAGCAATTTACAACTGGTCCACGTTCCCAAAAGAAATTCCGCGAGTGCCGATCCGACATGTCCGATTATAAAATCGGATAATACTCTTGCTTCTAGGTAATTTCGTGTAGCATGGCTAAGTGGCCTTCAAGGAACAGGTGTAATAAACAGCCCGGGGTATGAAAGTAGCTCGAAAGTTAATACAAGTATGAGGAACAAGTGAACGAAAGCAGAAATACCAGTAGCAGCGGCAACCAGCGAGCAAGTATAACATATGATTAACCCAGCGATAAATAAATCCACTAAAGATCCATAAAAATTTCATTAAAATAATTGACTCATTATAAATCCATAACCAGGCGTGAATAATTGTATTAAAAAATTCCCAACAATTAATGCATCTCCGATAACGTCATCTTTATTATCTGCAACAGGCCATAAATAATCCGTAAGCAATTAAAATCCGCGGACAAATTAAAATTTGATTAATTAAAAAAATTTGTTTCATAATCCAAGAATCTCCATTAGCACCACCAAAGGCGATCGTTAAGCTCGATAATAATTATCAGCGAATAAATTCCATTCGCAAAATTCATTCTAATGGATAATACAAAAAATTTGTAAAAATCGCAAGCGCATCGAATACGTACAAATTTCTCAATATCACCCCGATCCGCTACGCCGGCGCGTATCAATCGGTTATACATATTTAATAATCATCCAAGACGAAAAATCACTCTGGATTATCTGTTGTTGGTAATACCTGGTAATATAATCAATAGTCCACTGTGGATCCGATCGTGCCGTTCCACCAATGATGATGATGATGATGATGATGATGATGACGATATTAATAATGATAATAATAATGGTGTCCCAAGAAACTAACCGTAGATCCAACTGGAACTGGACTGCCGTAATGCCCACCGTATATTAATCTCAGCTGCTGCTCATCGAAATCAAGTAATTGCATAGGATCCTGGATTCGCAATTACATTCCGATGCATTACGGAGTCCTTGAATAATTTCTGGACTAAATTTGAATCGTCCCGGCCGACTGCCGAGTGCATCGTAATGCGTATGGATACCGTATCACGATCAGTATGAGAGTAGGCCGTCTATGTACACGTATAATTTATGGTAGGAGCGTTATGAGCTTGCACGTTAAATTCTAACCTGTGAACAGAGTCATCAAAGTCAGTAGTACTCGACAGGGACTGTGCTGTGAAGTTAGTCGAGCGCGAAGGTCGTGAAATCGAGATGACAACTGTTGGTGGGGGTTGGGGGGGGGAGAGTCACTTTCGAATAATTATTATGAGAGTCTCATTGACGAGTGATGATGATGATGATGATGATTATGTTGATGGCTGATAATGCTTAGTATTCATGGTAATGATAAATGGAATCGGATTTAGTTTATAAAATCATAAACTATGAAATTCTAGATTCGCCGTAACTGATAGTTTGAACGTGATGCAGATGGTAGTGCGCATGCGCGAAAAATGTAAAGTCACATTGATAACAGCGTAAAGTACTTCATATGGCTTTGATGACGCCTTTGAGATCACAGGCGGTGAATTTTTTATTTTTTTTGAAAAGGGAGAGAAAATTTTTTAGAGATCGTATCTGTAGCTGGGAGGTACGCAGGATCTGCTAGTCTCGCTACTTTAGTCTTGGCGCGAGTAATGGCGTATGGAAATTGTAAATACGGTTTGTTGAATATTTTCATTGAGGAGTCTAATGGATACTTGCGTGAAAAATTTTTCGGCGACGAATAAACTGTCATAAAGTATATAAGTATCCTGGGTACTGTCTACTGTATTAGGCCTGGCTGTGATTCAGAGCGCGACTCTTGAACTGCATCGATTTTTTTTTATTTACAACTTTACCACGCCTGTTTATATCGATATCGATCTGATCGATGTCTTGTGTCGATTTCTAGTGTTTTTCTAAGGATTGCATTGCGAGGAATTACTGATTGGATATTCTAGTCCTACCTTAAAACGCTTAAACGTGAAATCGAATGGTCTCGGTTTCCATCCGGTTGGCACAGGATGAGCTTTTTGTCAACGAAATCGTTAATATCGATTAATCCATCTATTTGACTCTTGCTGTTTGCTCTATTTATTGTGCGTTTCCGACGAACTCGTACAATCTTATCATTATATGATTTATTATCATTAAGAGATTGAAAATCGTACGATAATCTTCATGCAATATATTCCGGACGATGTAACTATAATTATATGAATGACGAGTCGATTTGGTAACACTAATTTCGTACCTCTGGTTTGGAACTTTGGAATTATTAAAGGAAATAGGGAGAAAAAACTTCTTTACCGACCGTAGGTCATTGATCTCCGGAAAAATCCAATCAGAAACAGATCGATCAGATGGCGGTTACATGAGGTTTTTTTTTACTTCGCGCTCTCTCTCTTTCTCTCTCTCTCTCTCTCTCTCTCGTTCAATAATCAGAGCATCATGATCCTGCTTCAAAGTGAACTTTTTACCAGATCTCAAACTCCGCTAATGAGCAATCCCGACGATTACTCGCAGGAAGAGTCCCCTCTGGCAGGATTGATGGCTCATTATTCTGTCCCGGCAGTCGTTATACCGGCATCCTGCCCAATCCCGGCCCATATTCAACTTTAACACGTGTCCATCCGTCTGAGTTGAGGCGTACGCACCGGAAGTAAAAACCGAATGCGTTGATTTCTACCTGGAAGCTATCCGCGTGCCGGCCTTAACTTAAAAATATCTGCTGCCGTTGAGATTCTGCACAGTCGAAAATCACCTGCCTGCAATGTGGAAATGAGTGTCGTTTGCCGATGACGAATCTCGCTGTTGCTGCGCCAAGAAGACAAGATTGATGCTACCGGTTGTAGGTGAGAAAAACTGTAATTGACTTCTGAGAGAATTACTAAGTGGTTGTAAGGATTACGACGCTTACATGAAAACAGTTCAAACTGTATAGTCACGTGCTAAAGTAATTTCCATTTGAAAATATATCTGACAACAGTAACGAGTTGTTCGCGGTATGAAAGAAAAAAATGAAATTTATTTGTCAAATATACAAATTTTCAAATATTTTATTTCAAGATTGTGCATTCTTTTTTCCGTAAATCTTTCATGTGCCGCGCGAACCCAATAGTCGAAAAATTGTAAAATAATAAGAAAATTATTTTTGTATTTCCCGCTCTGAAAAAGTTCTCGAACTTGGCGGCGCTCGCGGCGTATAATCGGCCTGGCGATGAGCCAGGGAGTTAAAAGCTGATCGTAACTTTTCAATCGAACATAAAGAGGAAGTTTATATCGCAAAGTAAATAAGTCCTCTACCTTGAGAAATGACTGATTAATTATTCGTGCGTTGTGGGTATAAAGAGTTCGACAAAAAAGTGCAGCTGGACGCGCCGTGACTGGGTATCTCGAGCATCTGGAAAGTGTCCTACGCAAAACAAAAGGTTATGGCGCGCCCGCTAATAACTGGCTGCCTAATAGTCGCGTGAAGAAGAAGAAGAGGAGGAAGAAGTGTCCCTTATAAAAAGTGGTACACTTAAGGACCGTTTAGAAAATAAATAGGCCTCGTTATACGGACGAGCGGCTAAGCTAACATCCACGACTGAACAAGCTAGACAATATTGTTGTGTACAAGCAGTTTGTGTGCAACGTAAAATAGTCAATCAGATATTGTGAAAAGGTAATGTAAAAACTTTCCATTAAAGTAGTGTTCTATATTAGGAACAGCTGATTAAAGTGACAAATCATATTGTTTATTGTTTAATTTCCATGAAATTTGGTATGAGGGAGTTTTGAGGGTCTCTTAATCTGAATTTGAAATCTAAATTATTAGATTCAAAATCGCCGAATCATTATGCCGGTTAAAAATTTTTCAAGTGCAACAAATTTTTGTAATAAAAAATACTTTACGATATATGATATGATTTTATAATTTTATATATAGAAACTTGTTATATGAATGTGATTTTTATTGGGTATACCATTATGATTATTAAGATTCTGACCGCTGATTCGAAATTAGTAACCCTAAAACACTTTTGAAAAATGAAATTTCAGCAAAATCTAACGAACGATAAAACGCATGCTTGAAAGGGATTGTTTAATTATATAGTCTAATTATATGGATTGTATGGTAACAGAATCTGTCGATAGAGTGACACAAGTAATACATGAAAGGCCTTGCATTTTTAAGAGAACATAAATCGGAACTAAAATCGAACTGATTGTTCGTCTTCATTAACACATCTCTTTCTCGAGGAGAAAGCTATGAAAGATAAGAAAGGATCGATTCTTCTTTCTCGTTTTTTTAAACATCCTTTAATGTGTTCAACCTCCACTCATTGATATAAGCGAATCAAATGTTCCAAATTAAGTCTCTAACATTGTATGGCGCTACGGTCGCTCGATCGGATATGGATAATTGGATCACTACCATTGAACGTTGCATCTTGTGTTGAGGTTGATAATGGAACTTTCACCGTATTGATCGGTTAGGCGGTCAAAAAACGTGAGTAAGTGTCTCGATCGGTATTTTCTTAGTTGGATATAATGTAAATGCGCGTGCAACGTCGAACGAGTCTGTGGAATGAAAGGAATTGAAAGAGCAGAGGGTATGAATTGCTTAAGAAGGGAAATCAAAGAGTGGAAAAAAAAGAAAATGTTGAATAAATAGTCAAATATGGCGGACTAAGTAAGTAGGGAGGAGATCGTGATGTGTTTCATTATGGCTACTTACATAGCCGTGACTGGTGACCGCTTTTGGTGAGAGTTCGCCTTTAATGTCGCCGCGGTGTACATAGCGACCAGCCTTACACGAATCCTTTTATACTTTACAGGATAAATCCTGTTTCTCTTTCTGGTACCGGTATCCTATCCAGATTGGGACGCTGGTTTATTTCGACTGCGCTTGTCGCTTGTAAAGAGAGGAAATATTTACTGGTCAAATAATTATTTGTACTGTTGCTTTGGCTCCTCTTGGCATACAAAAAACGACAGGGCCTCGTGTTATCTTTGCTCACTATGGTTTTATCGTTTCACTCTAACGACCCTCAAATGTCTAGAGTCATAGTAAAACGACTATAGCATTGCTGAAGTCGACGATTATTTTTTTTAATAAATATAGACAATTTTATTTAACAATAATCAATAATATCGCTAAGGTCAATTGTGTACGCGGGAAATGCATTCGAGTCTTTATAGTATACAAATTTCGATCATCAAACGGTCATACTTAATATCGTTCAATTTTAAATATTGGAAATTGTTAGTGGCGCCATCTGTCTCATCGTACGGTAAATCAATATTGGCCGTTCTAAAACGCCTGAAACTATGCAAACAACCGTACATATACGCAGCGCCTGAAGACAGGCAATTCTATAGACACTAGATACAGTGTACTTAATACTAGGATCATTATGAGACTATGTTCTGGTACAGTAAGTGTATAATGAGTGAATTTTTTAATTATAAAATTTATGGCTATATCTCGATGATCCACTATAATAATTACTATTTGCTAGTAACTTTAATCAATATTCAATGGTAATTCACCGAGAGATACTGCTTTACCAGTACTTACATCGGTTGAATCTTTCACAAGTTTCGAAGCGTCTCTCCGAGATGGCGCGCGCTACGGATTTTCAAATATTAGTCCTCGACAGTCTATACGAATGAATTCTAAGCGACACAAACTGAAGACTTAAGAGGTTTATTATCATTGGAGTGAAAATTCAAAGTCGAAAGTGACATGCTGTCATTGCGTCGCATCATTCGTCGTGGACTACCTAGCATTGTAAAAACAATACTGAATATGGAATAACATTGTAAACATTGGGGTAGCGTGATGCAGTGATTCAACAATGACGTCAACTTACAATTAATACGTGAATATTAAGATATCTGAAGGATCGTCTATTCCGTACAAACACAATTTTTGAATCCCAAGAACGGCGATTAAAATCTCTTATCTTTAACTGACAACGAGTTACTCTGTATGTTGAACACAATGTTCATGTACCTTATCGTGACCATTGTAGCCGGAAGTTATTAGCGATCTAATCAGACACACTTAATAAGCCATGACACGCATAAAAGACGTCACCCTTTAATAATTGCTCGAAACGAGTAAAATTATAAACGTATTGACCTTTCGGCAGGTCAAAAAATATATGTCACTGTTCGGTGATAACACGAACGAAGAACAATATGGAGGATATAGTATATAAATTTACATGTATAAAAAAACAGCTGACTGTTGAAAAATGTATAAAAAAAGCCATTACATAATTTTCCGAATAATAAAAAACAAACGTTGAATTTTAAATTCGCGACAATCAACTTGTCTCTCGAAATCAGGTATATTTTTTCGAAATTCTATTGACAACGATAACGTCCAAGACCTTTATCTCTTAACAACTTACTGTATTTGTAATAATTAGCACCTTAAAAAATTCAGATAAAAATGTCAAAACTATTTAAAAATCCAATATTTTTCATATACAGATGTCGACTGTGATGGTTCGTTTTCGTTTTAAATATTCGTTTTAAATAATAAGAAAATTATTAACGACTCGGCTGCTGGTGGTCGAGTAAATCGAGTTCCCCGTATAAAATTTTGCTTGATCGTATCCAAAGGAGCCTGACAAACACAGAAACTCGTTCAAGGATCATTTATAATAATTCTTTGAAGTCTGTCCCATGGTGGATGATTCCCATTCCCGGAAGAAGGTACAAGTAAGGTGGGCCAGAGGCGTGGGTTGTCCAGAGAGTCATTTCTCTCCCCGTTCGTAACAAAGGGTTGTACTGGTTCCTGCAAAAGAAAGGGTGTGGTTATCTATCGTGTATCACATCCACGATCGTGCATTAGCTGGTACCATAAGGAACCAATCAGAAGTATCCGTTGGTACGGTCGGGGTTCGTGATTCGTGGAAGGTAAATCTTATTCTTCCGACAGATGTCGCCAGCGTCGCCGGCAAATGAATTATTCCACGATGAATAACGACGTCCCGTGTAACCAGCATTCTACAGCACGTTTCAGCCGGAAGGTTGGGTATCAATGTGAATTACTGGAAAGTATGATAAATATGAATTGAAATTTTTTTTTATCGAATCGTTAATCCTTATATGGACATTTTTTTATTCTTCAGATATACTCACACGGTACAAACCATCCCTGTTCGTTCCTGAGAATCGTCTCTATTCTTGGGTATGAAGAATAAAGAAGATGACTTCTTCTTTAGCAATGGCTGTTCCTGACTCTTGGACGTTGGGTCTTTATGAGAAGGACGATTCGGTAAGGATCTCTTATACAGGATTCAAATCCACTTCCCCGAATAAGAGTTCAATCTCTGCAGGGTTCAGGTCCACAATCCCTCCCACCTCGTTCCTCGCCCAGTGACTCTTCTACAAGGAATCATGATCTTACCGTCTGCTTTTACGAGAACTCATGATCCAGTCTGCCATCCTATTTCCTTTTTCTCTCGCGTATACGTGGAATCGCGTGATAATCTATCTCTTTGTCGGCACCTGGAAGAACTAGAGGGCGCGTCGTACTTTTACTATACGTCTTAGGTATGCATTGGAATTAGCTTAAGGCAAAGGTAAAAAATTAACGAAATAAAAAAAAATACTATACACATTCCATATATGGTGTTTGTATGGTTAAATATATTAGAGAAAAAATTTTGTTATGTGTTACCCAATCCTATTTACCTTACCATTGAAAAAAATTATAAAACTTAAAAAGTACTTATTTAAATATTATCATTACAAAAAATCTTTCCATTCTTCATTTTATTTGGAAAATTAAAAGAAAATCTGACACTCTAGTTTGCAGCATTTTTTGTCGCCACGCTGCGCTTGGGTCACTAGATGTAGACCAGAGGGCTAATTTTCACAGGATTTTTATTCGTACGCGACATTTCTGTCACTCGAGTTTCCTAACTCTCTTCAGTCGTAGGTCTATGCACAAATGTTTAACGAGGGGATCGACCATAGTCTATTGCCATAAGGAAAGGAAGGAAGGAAGGACCATAGTCTATTGGCTGGTTATTTATTGCAGTACACAAGAAAATAATAGGAATAACGTTAGTGATAGGAACGATTAGCTTAACCCGTGTTCTTATTCTTTGTTATTTGTTCACCGAGTGACTAACTGTCAAGCTAACCTAAAGAATCTCGATATTGATGGGTTTTACTGAGAAATCGAATATATCGAATTCCCTCGAACAATTCGTCCCGGGTGCCATGGCTATTGAGGTTATGTTCATGTTCCGCGTTTACGGGTAAACGAATTCAGGCATGCGATACGATTCACCGCACCTCGTTAGGACGATTCCCAAGCGATAACAATCGCTGTCGCGTGTCAACCGTCAGAATGTAAACTGCCTTGAAGCTATAGCTTACATATATATATATTGAGTATAACGGCACGTGGGTCTTTCAAAGCTTCCCGGAACGGACCTTATGGAAACATCTGTATATGGTCTAACCTGATGCATTGTGGTTCCGTGGTATTCTTAGAGCAAAATTTTGACCTTTGACCATTTTTTGAATATATATTCTTTGCTCTTTTTCGGAATTTACGAAGACTCGTGGTAAATTAATTATGGCGGAATAGTTAATAATTCGAAATAGTAAACGGAATTAAAGCTCATGATTGATTCACATGTCATTTGCTTTTGTGACTTTTCGTAGAAATATGATTTTGCAAATACGGATCGTTGACAGGCTGTCTGGTAATTTTTTTGTATTTTACTGTTTGCTTTTTTTTACGAGTTACAACGCTGTCAGGCGGGGTATGTTGGTTACCATATCTTTTTTGGGTTGAAATTATTTCTTACAGGATATATAAGGAACGTGACTGATACGTGAAATTTTTTTAATATATAGGTATAGGTACTCGTACAGGTCCCTGGAAATAATCTATCGATGTTAGTAATGAATTCTTGGAAAGATGAAAAAAAAAAGAAATGAAAGATTCAAAGTCGTAGATTTTTACGAAATTTTCATAATATCATTTCAGGCACAGCTATCGTTTCGTGCCGATATTTCTTTTTTTATACGTGGATTGATTCAGCGTTCATGGGACTTTTGTCAGACACCAATCAAGTGTATAATTTGTTACGTGCATACAGATCGAAAAGAAAGCGTATGAAAATATATAACCTAACCTAACCTACGCGTATGAAAACGTAATATTTAGAAATGTCCATAACGAATTTGTGTAAATTTTTGCATGAAAAAATTACCACTCGGGCCCTCGTATGAAAATATAAATAAATTTCCTGTAAAAAAAATCATATGCAGCTACGGTATTACCTTGATTTCTTATCAGATCCAAAAACACGGGTTATGTATATCAAAAAATTCGTGTTCTCTACAAAGGGACGTAAGGTCAGTTTTTCCCGTGGCTGCAAAAAATGGCGAATGAAAAATATTTTTGAAAATTCTCACCATATCGATTTTCATTTAAAAATTTCAGGGTTCGCTCCAATTACCAACAGACTGATACTCGCTGTTTCTATTTTGGTAACGTATTGGATTTATTTTTAGTACTGATTCATTTCTTTATTGACTATACTGAACGTCATTATTATATCACAGGTGATCCAACTCGAAAGAGAAAGGCCAAGGCACCTTGACGATCAGGACTCAAAAATCCACTGAAACGTCCACACACAGAAAACTCAAGATCCGTATATCAATAAGCACTATCGTAATCCAAGACTTGTACAATTTTCATCGTCATCGTAACGTATAACGAGTAGAGTGTAAAAATGGCAACGAATAGGTACACCGCTCTACCTAAGGATATCTTGACGCATAGGCATAAGATATATTCCGTTTGATGAATCAGCTGCGTCCGAAGAAGGTTCCGTCCATTGAAATCACAACATGTTCCTGGAAGGATTCCTAAGGATTGGCAAAGAGAAAGAGAAAAAGAAAAAAAAAGATACCATATAAGATCTCTGGTGAAAGATTGTGCAAAGGTCAAAGGATGGTCTAACGAAGGCGTATATGGATGGAAAAAAATAGGTTAACAGAAATAAGAAAACAGGAAAAAAAAATGAAGGGGGTAAATAAGAAGAAAAAGAGAATAAAAAAAATAATAATAAAAGAAAACCAAGGATTTAGCTATGATGAGCAACTGTCTCGTGACGTTGCCAGACCGTCTGGCATCCGTAGTATTTTTGTATTTTCGTCGGTTGACATCGACGTCATCGTATTTGCGAACACACGCGACGACATATTTAGCCGTTAGCGCGCTTGCAAAGTCTGCCCGTCAGGTAAGACAGAGGCTAAGAATAAGGTGGCGCCATTCGTTCGACAATCGGTAACAGAGTTTTTGGCATGGCCGAAGCAAGTATTTTTGGCCTAAGTGTCCGAAAGCGAAAAACTTCTTGCTGTGTAATTTGAATTCCTAAGGGCGGGGAGGGAACGAGTGTTTACGTAATACGTTGTGTCGCCATCTCTTTTTTTTTTATGACGTTGTTGAACCAGAAGAAACGGGTAATCTTTTTTTGTATTTACGAAAAGTACAATGAGTAACGTCACTGATGTGATATTTTGTAAAAAAAGTAAGGGGGGTTTCAAAATAGAAGTTTTTTTAGTAATACATTTCTTATTTAATGTTGGACCCGAGTGACGTGAGTTGGAAACTTGAAAAAATTTACTCAATGAAATTTACTATACGCGTTTTCTTCGGACTTTTAAAAGTTTATTGCAATTTCTAAGTACGGTATATTAAATTACGCTTTTTTACGGGAATTTAATTTTTCGATAAGACGAATAATCGAAATTGATTATCGTTGTATATTGTTACTACTGAAAAATTTGGCGAACGTATTATATTGAGCTTTTACAATTCTATTTTCATTCGTGTGGATCGATGATAAGGATACATGATTTTTGAAATTATTAACGTAATGTTATTAATCAATACTGTAGGATCTTTTATATAGGTATAGATAGGGAAGGCGCGAAATCACTGCTCTCGTAACTTGGAGGTTTCTCTTTTTATTTTGTCCGGCCTTTACAACGTCGTGTCCATTACTGCCCGTACATCTTTCTCCTATATCCATCCATCCACACGCATACACACCGAGACATTCGCTTCTATAAGCCTAGGATGAGCAGCCTAGGCTTGTCTATTATTGTTTTTCTTTTTCATCTACTTGAATCCTACAATCGGCCATCCTGGTCAGGCATCTGCCCTCAGATGCCCGCGCACTCCCTGATAAGCGGTTGTATCGGTATAAATTCGAATTTATGAAAAATCTTAGTAAATTCTCTACAAACAGGTTCATTAAAAACCGGCAATAATATGACGCGATTACACGTCTGATTAAATGATAAGAGCGCGCGATAAAGTACCTAGAAAGAATTAGACTGACTAATACGCAAATACGCATCGGATCAGATATAAAATATTCACGAGATATGTATGAGTTCGTACGAGTCATTAATATTTACTACCACATACAAAGAACCGAAGTAAAAAAATATTTTTCAATAACTACTTGAGACAATCTCACATATTCAACGATACATATATTTGATTTTGACCTGCATTTAAAAAAAATTATGAAGATTCCATTGTTTTTATCCAAAATTTACATGAGTCTTTCCCCACGTTATTGGCATCTTGATTAATCAGTCATTCGATTTGAATCTATTCTTGTTGTATCCTTCCGCTACAATGACGTATCTTTAACCAACCCGTGACGTATTACAGACGTTTATTTTTTAATCGCGCATTTGACTTCCGCTTCCATTTTCCATTCGCGCGATGCACTATGGGTACTTAGGTTAGCAACAGCGTATATAAGCATATGAAGTATTACTATTTAAAAGCATAGCCAACACGCGACATACGTATATACGTATCAGTCTGTATGCCATAGTAGTTAGTTGTTTTCTGCCGACCGAATTAACCGGTCGGCTTCCGAGAAGCGGTCAGGATCGTATCAAAATAGTCTGGTCAACAATTCGTAGAAACGCAAAAGAGCCTAGTCTATAATGCGTGATCGCGAAGCGTCCTGTCCTCTAATGCAATTTCCTGCCGGCAGAGAGATACGTAGCGCTGCACGTACGTCAAACCATAATCCGATGTTATTTGCCACGGGACACAGCTGGCCGAAACTCAGGCCAAGATGGCCGCCCGAGGTGACTGTCTTACGCGGAAACGTGAAAATAGAGTACGTTACGAAAAATCTAGGTCAGTTCGAGCCCTCGACACGAGTTTTTCTTTTTCTTTTATGTATTTATTTTCTAATACTTTGATCTACTTCACCGTCTGATATACGTATGCGTATTTAAGTGGCTTTTTCTATACTTTATTTCATGCTCTTTTCAATCAGCGACGCTTTCATGGCTTCCACGAAAACCTTTTGCGTGTAAAGCCTTATGAAAATTACGTTGGCAAAGCACTGAGGAAAATTTGGATGTCAACGATGCGGAGGATTACGATGTACGTAAGCAATGACGAATTCTTTCCGAAATATGACGAATCCGGTTAAACTTATTGAATTATACTGAAAGACATCTACGCGAATGTTTTTCTCTTACGCGGACTCCTGCGTGTCATAACTTGCAAACGTCGATAGACGTAACGAGTGTTGCGCGACTGTTGAACCCAATTTTAGAAACGGATCAAGAACGTCCTATAGCGTTATGACGAAGCGCTATGGAATTTCTTTAAATATTTAATACTTCGCGGAAGAGTTAGACGCGATGAAAAATTGAGTTTTCAATTTCCCCCGTAAGACATTTTTTTTCATTTTTCCTAAATTGTTTATATACTCGTCTCGAATGGTTCTTGGTGTTAGATTTTGGATTGGAGAAGAGAGATATGGAGTGAAATTTTTTTCGAGGCAATTTATCGACTCCCTTCGATTAAAATGTTCATTGGCGACAGGAAGAGGTACGAACACGGGACCCAAACGGCCATTTTTCTTTCCACGTTCCGAGTAAAGCTGCCTTCCAGAAATCCAGCAGTCATTTAGCCGGTGGTGGTCTCTTGCCGGTAATTGAAATCTATCTTGATGAAGCAAAAAATTAATTACCGCCGTTCGCCGAACGCAAAAGAATACATTATACCATACTGTAGGGACCCCGTAGGGCGATTGTCGATACTAACGAGCGATTTCATTGTACTCTCTTTTCATTAAGGATTTAGCCTCACTCTCGTTTCTACTTACCAATCGATTCTAGTTAATTCGATTAATGGATTTTCGTCGACCTTTTTTTTTTCAATCGGACCAAGTTTTTGGGATTACCTTGAAAACTTCAATTTTAGCTGTATAAAAATAGGCTTTTTTTAATTAAAAAAACGATTTAGTATTTTGTTATTTGACAATTATGATTTAATAATAATTAGATAGGGGTATATACATATACCAGCATTATTTTTTTAAAAAGAATCCACAAGTCACATTCAAGTACTGTTTATAACAAGACTCGCGTGATTGTCATGCGCGCTTCTCGGTAGGATGACACTGCCCGATCATTTAAAATTGATATGTTCGTAACGTTCCTGTTTCTGTCATTTATCATCCTCTTTCCCGCATCATATTTCGAGGTAAACAAGTACCTCGAGAGCAATCAAGCTCTCTCCAGTATGAGTTTGCGTGTCTGAAATTGTAAACGGTAAAAACAAAGTGTACAGTATATGTAAAAAAAAAAAAGAAGGAACATCGTTTCGGCATTACGGTAATAAGAACCGTGAGAAAGAATATAGTATGAGAAAGGACAAATTTTTTGATAAAATTCAAATTGATAAAATATTCCAATAACAAGTCACGTGACGACGAAGATGCAATTTAGAGGTCATGCAGGAATTAATTAAGAATTAAAAAAAATTCCTTGCAAAAACTACCTGACAAATACATTGTAATTCGTATACGTCATTTTTTTCCTCTCTTAAACAGGTAGCCTCTTTAGCTCAGTGGTAGAGCACTGGTCTCGTAAACCAGGGGTCGTGAGTTCAAACCTCACAGGAGGCAAGTTTTCGTCTTTTATCGTTCCCGTCGTCCCTCTGCCGGCTATTCTACGAAGCAATTTTTGATACGCGCAAACCACATCGAGCGTGACTTATTTAAATTGTACCGAGAACCGATCGATTTCGTCGGCCATTAAAGGCTGCTCGCGTACATACGCGCCTCCTCAAAGATCGGTCCACAGGAGCCTGGTCAATTTTTCACGCAACCAATTTCGACCAATTCGATTTTATAACTACGTAGCCAATAAGAACGGGTAACCAATTCACAAATATCTTCAAAAAAAAAAAAAGAAAAAAATCCAGACGATGCATAAATGCAACAAACACACGTTAACCCACTGTACCATAGAACAAAAGTGAATCGGTTATCACCGACTGACAGGATAGTGAGCATAGGACAAAAAAAATTCTAATCGGAAAATCTAATACGAATCAATAATCTTATCTCTAGATCACTGTTTCCATACCATAAAATTCTCACAGATAATTCCAAGTAACATTTTTTTTTCCAAATCAAATTTTTTTTTCCCCCCAGTGTTCCTCGTTTGTATCTACTTCATTTATCGTGATTAAACTCCCTTTATCGTCTCCCCGTTTCTATTTTTTTTCCTTCTTCATTCATGATCGTGATTCGAGATGCTTCACGAAGGAGGTGCCCCAAGAAGGAGGCTGCCCGCCTTTCGACGAAATCGCCGCTATCGGACGACGAATGCCCGTGAAGAAAACGAGGCGGCTTTAGTCCCTCTCCCCGTTGAGTTCCGGCAAGTCGTTACCGATAGGTACTTTAACGACTTTTGGAGAACCGCAGTTGCTGGAAGGAGATATCGAAGTCAGCAATGCGCCTGCCGCAGCGATTATATTCCAGCAGGTACATGCATACATATAGATACAAGCCCCATAAGAGAATTCAGCACACGTGATATATCTATATATCGGCATATAACGCGTATACGTATAATCACACAAGAAAGTAGAGGAAAAAAAAGTCCTTAGAGAATTTCGTAAATTATAACGCTCAGAATCGCTCACGATAATGACAGTTCAAGTTGCGTTATATCCTATAATTACGTCGTACTGGGTAATGCGATATAGCCACGGTGTGCATGCGCCTATATGTAATTATTTCAGACACCAATCCGAGGCATCGTTACGAGCTGATATCGATTGTCAATTATATTTATCATAATTTCCCGAAGTCTTTATATTAATATATTCATCATTTTTTACAATAATAAATCTTCGTATCACGTATACACCATATATCAATTATATTCTCGTTATATCGCGTAACCATGTCCCACGGTCTAACGGCTGAGAAAAAGTGACGTCTGGCGGCGGCAAAAAGAAGTTGGCTGCTTACTTGGTATACCGGCCAAAGAACGTCTTACTCGGAACGGAGTAAATATTGCTGCTTGTCTTCTGTCATAATACGATTGATGTCCCGGTACGGTTTGATTGTAATGAGAATACGAAGGAGAAGAGACAAGGAGGAATAATGCCGATGGAAACAAAGGTTCGGAGAAAGCGGATTCCAACGTTTTGAATCATAAGAGACGGTTTGAATGATTCGTTGCGAGAATAGGTTACATTTCGTGATAGCTAAGAAGGACTAAAGGCGGATTTTCATACGGTCAATATTATTTGTTCCAATTACTTGAATTAAGGTCAGGTCGCTTTAGCCACTCGATGTTTATAAATACCAGCTGTATGAGGTAAGTCGATATAATTGGCGGCAATTTTTGAATTTACTTTTTATCCTCGATGGCCGACGACTAAGGGTGTCCCTTTCGACGTTACCGGCGTAACGAGCGACTGACTGACGTGGGACGAATGACGTAATACATTCAGCGCCTTTCAGTTCAGACGTACGATTCCAGGTAGCCGTTTCGGTGTGGATGGTTCTTTATGTGCTATTTATGGAAGGTCTTCTCGGAAATACACGGCATATTGCGTCCATGAGCCCACGGCCGGAACATCTGCGGATGCAGTTTGGTTTGTCGAAAGGCGGCTCCTCACCCTTGGGAGGCCTGAGAAAAGGAGAATTGAAATGGAGGGGAGTGAAATGGGAGAGAAAAGGTTAAACCACCGGAAGCAAGGAGAAAGTATGAAAGCTGACGGAAGCGTCGAGGATCCTTAGGTGGTATTAAAAAAAATTTAATAATAATAACAATCGACGATATTAAATTCCACAGAAATTTAATCATCGCTTTGCACACGTGTTTCGAATTTCTTTCAGGTTAGGTTGTACCGTCGTCCTACGTCGCCACCTGGCGGATGTAGCCAGCACTCGAATGGAAACTGCGAATAGGCATTTACCATGTGAAACTAATAATCATCGGGACTCGTCGGAACTTTTACGTGCTGGTTATGAATATGCATTTTAACGATTGGGATCCTCCTTATGGGGCCCCTTGGGACGGTTGATTGTGCAGATAATTATTCCGGATGTCAATATGGCACCGTCGTACCTACACATGGCAAACGTGCCACTTCCGTTGGGAATGGGAAACGGTTGGAATTAAGGTAAATTGAAAGTGCTGGGTGACGCGGCGGAAAAAAAATTCCACGTTGCACCTGCGTGTCCTGACTGTTGTTATTATTTATTTGAGCTTTATAATAAAGTCTAATTATTATCACGTAGCGCTTCGGCGATTCTTCGGATAATTATATATTGGATCTAACGGAATGTTCCGTTCGATCTCCAGTCTAGTGAAAATCGGACGGAACTTTCCGTTAGATCTAATATGCAATGGTAATTTCTCATACGAGGACGATTCGTGCGATCCGTTCGGTACCGGAAAATTAACACAGGATTTCCGATGGTTTTCGTATAAGCAACTGTTACGTAATGTTGATAGTCGTTCGTAATCGGTAGGCATATATGTTGTATAGGCTGATTTTTTTTGTTTACAAACCACGTAAATATACTTACGGAATTCGTGGTCGGTTACATTGTCACTTGTGGTTTCTCGGTCAAGTTCACAATTTGTGAATCACAAATCGTGACACACGGCTGTTTCGGGAATTTATTTGCGGATTCGCGAAATACTTTCGTGGCTTGGACGCATTCAAAGTCGGGCTTAAAATTAAATTTTTTTTTCTTCCCTTAATATTGTTCCTCCCGCATATGCCGGTTAGATAGAAAATTATATTAAACCCATTCTCATGAAATATTTTGCAGATTTGAACGCAGCATTGAAAGTTAGGCTTAAAATCGAACAATTTTTACTTTGATATTGCTTGTTCCGTATAAGTGGGTTGGACATAAAATTTTTTTTAACGCTTTCTATCGCGGAATATTAATCGCTTACTTGGAACAGATAATATTAGTCATAATTACTCAGGGCGATAAAGAAGAAATCTGCGAATGAACTTAACTATTCTTGAAATTTATTATCCGTACATAAAACGCACTTTACGGCTACTTTTCACGTAGCGTCTGATTTTAATTTTAATAAATCACTTTATATTCTTCGGATACGATAGACGATAGGAAAAAATATATTTTTTATATATACATAAAAATATCTTTTTTTTTCTTGATGCAGTCGCAAGATTAAGATATCCTACGGTTCAACAAAATTACATAGTACAAAGCAGCTGCGAGCAAGACACATGTAAAACAAAAAGATACCACGTGTAGGAAGATAAGGTAAAATAAAAAGAAAAAAAAAAGAAAACTTACCTTTGTACATGTGTATACGAACGTTAGGAAATATAAAAGAAAGATAATGCACTTTTGTTTGCATGCACGAGTAACGATACCGATAAACGATACATACTGCTGATAACGATGGTACGTGTCTAAATTGAATATTTATAAATTTAATTTATCCCAAAATCAAATATATGTTATCTTTTATATTATATTCAAATTATAATTAGCCACGAGGATAGAAATCTGCAAAATCAACGTGACCAATCATAAGCGTTATCATTTGCGCGTGCACGCACTTTCGGACTATTTGCCACGTGGGGTCCGACGTTAATTTTAGTAAATTGATGTATATCCCCCGGATACGGCGAATAATAGGGAAATACATATATATATAGCGATAAAGATATTTATTAATCATTTAGATAAAATGCTTGGAGTACAATAGAAATAAAAAATACGTTTCGGTACGGGTGCAGTAAAAAACAGAAAAGGGACGGAGAGGGGGTCGGAATAAAATGATAGAATATTAAAAATAATAAATGTAATGACGACTTGTACATAGATACGTGGGCACTGATAAAATTAATTCCACGAATCCTTATCGGAATTTCGTATCGTCGTACGTGACGTCACGATCGCAAAGAGATCAATAACCAATATTACAGCCAAGTATTTCTGCTTCCTGGCGTAACGATTGCAACGATCGTCCATGAGCTATAAATCGTTATCGGGTATCGGTTAGGTTTTCGTAGCGACAGCAAAAAGGCCACTGACCAATAACGAATCTCCATAAAGTTTGATTTTTGCATTGAGAAAAAAAAGAGAGGACCAAGGATAGGGAAGAATTGTTGCTAAAAATGCATGACCAACGATAACAGTGAAAACATAAAAAAAAAATATTCATAGATTAAAATCCGTCTCGCACCTGCGAACTGCGTCCAGAGATCCTTATCAGGACATTTCGTTCCCAGGACGTGAAGTAAAAGTGCGGACGCCGCGGCGTCGGGCTCCACGGTTCTTTGAACTTTGATCCCCAGGTACGATTAACGATCGGGGGAATTGAATTTAAGAGGAACGAGAGATTAAAAGCGGACAGCTGTTCTACGTGGAAGAAGAGATAGGGGACTGAAGCCTGAAGCAGAATTCAGGCAGGCAGACTGGGTAGGCTGGGTCCAGACCCCTTTGGGCAATGGCGTAGCAATATTAAAAAAATAAGTCTATGCGATTCTTTCTCTTTTTTTTTTGTCAAATAATAATATGCTCGAAGATTCAGAGAACCGTGGCCTAACGTGTTTGAACTTATCGTGCCATGGCGTCGAAGAAGTAACGTTAATATTTTTTTTATCAGCTGTAGACAGATTACAAGAGTTCAAGAAATAATTTAATTCCACGAAAATCAAGAGGCGACGGACAGATGCTTGGAGAGTCCAAGGTCTGGTTGTAAAAAGAAAAAGAAAAAAAAAAAGGCGAATGAATAATCACTAGCAGAACGTTACGTCCTTTCGGTAAGGACACGACAATACAATTCTACGTAATAAGATATAGTGTAGCGTCTCTTGGCGATTTGAATAACCCGCCGGTTTTTAACTTCCCAGAAATAGGCCAATAAAGCACGGACAGATGCGCCGTACGAGGTGAGTACAATGCTTCGGTATAAGGTGGCGCCGCACGCAAGCGGCGCGCCTGCGCAGTTGTAGCTTCGGAGAGGAACTGTCATGGTATAAAGTGGCTCCTTAGAGGGATGTCACGTGGGGAACGATCAAAGAGAGACGGAGCAGCCTGTGTGTGAAAAAAGAAAGAAGAAATATGAAGTGAGCCAGGGACAGACGTAAAAATAAAGAAATAAGATGGGGACGAAATAAGAAACCCCTAGCGGAATAAAATAGAAGCATCTGGTACTAACGAGACTCCTTTGAAAATTTTCCGTGCACCTCGATTGCGTCGGAGGACGTTGAATTCTCGGAGAAACGCATCTGTAATGATATACGCCGTTTGACCCAGGTCGTCGAATGACGTGGGGTATAATAGAAAATTTTATTTTTATATTTTAGAACATCGCTCTGTCTCCGTTCGATGTATCGCGGTGAACAGAGACAGAACGATATTTCAGTGTACAAGAATAGATTTAGCTACACGCCCGTGAATGTCAATCGAGTCGATTTGATTGTTACTTTTTTTCAAGCTCAAAGTCTTCTTTGGGAATTATAAATATGTATATATGGGAATTGACCTTTTTTTATCCTGGTCCCTCACTCTTTTCTCGGAATCTTTCTGTCCGCCCTAGTATGGGGTTGGGTTAGGTCAAATGTCAAGAAAGAGAGAACGCCATTACGATGCGGGTCAGAGACGACGACCCCTCTTGTCAAATGTTCCTTCCCTCCCTTTGCTTCCTGGAAAATCATATTTTTCATGTAACGCACCACCTTAATGGACACGCCATTCTCCTTGTGTTTAATTTCTTTTAATCGGCCGTGTTATATTACCAGTTTCGTGCTTGAGGCCCTTCAGGGACTGCAGCAACGAGGCCCCTTTTAATGTCTGCATATAGTATCGGTAGGTTGAGATTACTGCTGGAGGAGCGATGAACAGGTCGCCACCAATGCCCGATAAGACGTTGAAGTACCTGATAATATAGGGTCGTCCATTCCGGCTATCGTTTCTCGCTTTTAAAAGGAATTCCTGAACGAAAGGATACTGCGAGGATGGTTCCGAGTGGATAAGGATTGAATGGAGAGCGTGAGAAAATGTAGGACCGATTGAAATTAGAGACAGCCTGGTTTTACTTAGAAACGACAATTAAAAATATCTTACAAATTGACATAAGTACACGATCGAACGTCTCGGCTGCATATTACGCAATTTGTAATATCGCAATTTCTCAGAAAAACTCGTGCAACTTATAGCGCCAAGTTTGAACTACTTTTTTTTTTTTTTTTTTTTTTTTTTTTTTTTTTTTTTTTTTTTTTTTTTTTTTTTTTTTTTTTTTTTTTATTAGAATCGTATATCGTGACTGGTAATAAAACGGGTTGTGGTGTCGTTTCGTGCCGCTTGGACTCGATAACGAGTTTCGTAGAACGGCCATTCCTCTTAGAGAACTTTGCGTGTCTCGTTCGGAAGTATTACGAAATGTTTATTCTGTCAGTGAGGACGATCAAAAGTTAAAGACGAACGTGCATGTAATGTATGAAATTTGTAATTTTTCAGTTTGACGCCGATTGGCGGAATGTATAATGAGCCTCAAGTCGGTATCATTGAGATGGTTAACTATAAGTAATTTACCGGCTTTCACGTAACCCAGCAGTTGCCCGCGACGAATACTGCATCAGGAAAAGTCGGGTCACTTCTGGGAATAGATAAAAGTCAAACAAAGTTTTGGTTTAGTGTACCTTGGCGTGTCTATGGCGCCAACTGTACCTCGTACAGTTCTGCCATCTCGCGGCTGAAGTACGAAACACGCCCTATGGTAGGATAGTTTCTTCGCGACGCCCTGACGCGACGTCGACCATTGCCAGGCGCGGAGAAGTTTCCTTCACAGAAATCGGTACGACAATTTGTCCGGTAAAAGTGAATCGCGCGAATGCGATTAAAGAGAACTCTCTATCGCCGGGATAAGAGCCGCTCGTTTGTGAACGATAAAAGCCGGAAGGAAGACTCTGATATCGAAGGTGTTAAATGGATACAAAGCTTGGAAAGCCTGTGTGTACGTAGGCGGCGCGTCCGAGACGCTTCTAGGAGAGACAAAAAAGAGGTAAGAATTTCGTGGCTTTGTCTTTACCGAGTTAAGTCAACTTATCCTCACCAAACACGTGAATAACCTTTTTCTATTCTCTAACATCCCGACGAAAAACTCTGACTTTTCTTCCCTAGCTTTTACTTAGATTTATCGTCCTTTCTACTCGTTTCAAATGACACAAAATCACAGGGAACCCATGCTTGACAGAGACAGATTAACAATATCAACTAAAAAGAAATCCCTATACTCAATAGTGGAACGTGCACGTATTCTAGAAAGTCTTGACTCCTCTCTCGATAATATCGAAGCACCCTGAAGATATCAATTTTACGCAAATACCCGAAAAGCTTCATTTCAGTCACAATCATATCCTTCACCGTGTCGTAAGTAAAATGAAACACCCGATACGTACAATAGAACATCTTCGATCGATACACTAATGTATAACCCTACCACAGCCTTAGCGTAATTTTCAATGATATCCAATTTCTTCTTGTATTGCCCATAGGTAAATGCTCTTCGTTTTTATCCTTATCTTTCTCTCTCTTTCCTCCTCTCACGACTGGAGGTGAGTTTAGTGCCAATTTCGCTGAACAGTCAACGACCCGCATTGGAAGCCCGTGGCGTGCCGTTAATTCCAATTCGTCTTGCCGACTTTAGCCAGCAACTCTTCTCTATTCGCAGGTGCTGAGCGTTATAGGTTATGTTACGCTACATTAAGTTTTCGTATAATTTACGAAGAATAATTATATACGGTAGGACTATCGTATTTTCAGTGCTCGACCGTACACTCGGTCTATGCAATTTATTCATACCGCTTGTCACTGTTTTATTATTAAATCAACATGAAATGCTACTTTCTTATGCAACCTATAATGTGCAGTGTAGTATATAAGATCCGAGCACGTGGAATTCTTTGACTGGATGCGCGGCTCTCGTCCTATCTGTATACACACGTATCCCACGTATATACGTTTGTGAGGTTTATTTCGCGTATAGCTGCGCGCGCAATCTTCTTCGCTACAGGCAGCCACGACTTTTCATACTGGCGTAGGACTTACGACTTTTCGGATCATTACGAGAACGAGTTATGGCGGCTCCTTCGTGCCGCTGACTCTTTAACCCGGGATCCTACGAGCTCTTGGTACTTTCGAAACTGGCCTATTTACACAGCTGACCGGGCGTCGCTTACAAAATTGACGCCTCTCTACGTGCACTCGTGAAATTTACTCTAATCTCGGCAACGTACGTAACTACATCTTTCGGCGCTGTTGCGATAATAATGTGTTTTTTTTTGTTTGTACATTTTTTTCATTGCTTTCACGTACCTTGTCACAGCCGGAGAAAAATTGGGTAAAAGTTTCACTCAGGCGGTTTACTATTTGAATATTCACTTTCATTTTGCTTTTTATCGCTACTTGCTTTTTTTTTGCATTTTACTAGGAATTCTGTAATCGGCGTATATATACGTGGGTGTCAGTTATGTGAGTATGTATGCCAGTATGGAAAGTATTAAATATCGTTGACCATATTTGCACGGTGTGTACGAAGCTTTATTAATCTTGCGTGAATGATTTTTGTTTGATGAAATGAAAACTGCGAATTCTTTGAATTCGTGGAACGTGACGTCACTTGTGTAGGAATTTTTTTATTCTTTTAGTGAATCTTCTTTATTCACCGGGTCAGAAGGTCAATGCGTCAGCGGATGTCCTTGGACGCATTCAGGGAAAAAAAATCTGTCAAAAATTTTTGATACAGAATTTATTTACCGCTGATAACAGGGGGCTCTATTTTAATGGCGTGCACGCGATAACATAGGTGCAAAATAAAAAAATGATCTTAAATGTCATACTGCAGTTGTATTTTTGGCCACATTGTATGAACGGATTTTATGAACAGACACTGGCGATATAACGGGCTGTGCGTATATATATGTTTTGAAATAGCCTGATATAACAATAAAAATAGAAAAAGAGATAGGGGCGTGTAAATATAAGCAAAATTTTAAAAAATTTAGTGATCCGCACGTGTAATAAATAACAATCTTAGCATTTTGGCATATGGTTGCTAGTTTCGTTCTCGAACAAAAAAAAAACACCATAAATTATTGTAGACGAGAGAGAAAAAAAATCGTATCACGTACGCAGACCGTGTGTGAAGATAATTAAAATCCCTGGAAAGCCGTAGTACAAATACTCTACCGAAATAGAGTATACACGCCGTAGAACGTGACGATATGTACTATAGTACGTTCGAGCTAACTGCGCTTTCACGATATCGAAATTACATTGAAATTTTGTGAAAAAAAAAAACTTATTTCTTTAAAGAAGAAAAAGTTAATCTTTAAAAAATCATGTATTTTGATGACAATTTTTTTGGGATTTTTTCTCAACTGCACGTCATCCTTTGCGAGGACTCGATCCTTCTACGTCATCATGATCATTCGCATCCAAGAATCGGACTCCTGGATATCATATTTCGGCCCCGTGTTCTCCCTCGTCGTTACGCCCCTGAGATAACCGGCGCGCCAAATAAAAGAAAATCACGGCATTCGCAAAGATTACCGGGCCGAGGAGAAGATCCTTCTGAGAATCAGCTACACTTGACCGTCGCTAGACGAAAATAAACGAGCTGTTGGGATTGAGGAATTAATTTAGTTTTTTTTTTATTTCGCCAGGACCAACTAGGGAGATGCTGCCATGCTCGATCTCTCGTTCGTACGTTCTCGCCGACTTGAATCTCGAATTGAAGATCTGCTCTCGTAATTAGTACCCGCTGAAAGATCAATCGATACACCCCGTACCTCTGAATCTGTATGGAAGCCATTTAAATTGAAAAGAAAATGGCCGCGCGCAGCATCCCCTCCATTATTAAATTCCCATGTACCTCGATCCTCTCATAATCTTAATAATCACTTACGTTTCTCGTAAATGCGAAATAATCTCTCGATAAGAAAAAAAAATATTTTCCAAGAATTCAAGATAATTTTTTTTTCCCAATAATCACGGAATTTATTGAATTCAGAAAAAAAAACTGTTAAACCAATGTTAAATGTAATCCTATTTATTTTTTTTTCCTTTCCAAATATCAGTACCAACTTAACGATGCGATTCGACCCTGTGTTCACTCAAAAAATTTTGAAATCCTTTTCACATTTTTTAAATAATTTTTTTTGACTCATTCTCCAACCTCACACCTGATCTTTTTGCTTGCTCACCCTGGCACATTATTGAAGACCAGGGTATCAGTATTCCTGACGTCAAGGTTCGTGATCCCTAATGACAATGCATATAACACAGCCATGGGGCTGTGCAAAATTTTTCCCTAGACAAGTACCAACCCACAGCGTGTATAACCCTGTGTATAAACGAATATATGCAAGCCGTTTGTCATTGTGCAATTCCAGCTACGATTCCCGGAGGCTGGGGGGGCACTTCGTGCCCCATAGGCGTAAAACCCAGACAATGCTACACTTTCTACAGTGTGGCCAACCAAAAAAAAATCCCCACCACCAGGACCCTTTTCCAAGAAAAGGAGTCAAACGCAGCTGCACCTCTTCCCGAGCCCACTAATCTTATTCATCCTGATAAATCCTCAAAAAGATTATCCTCGCCGTACCCAAAGAAAAACTTTCCAAAATTTTTTTTTCGAACCAGAGTCAATTTTCGAAAATTTTAATTTGGCAGCTCAAAAAACTTTTTTTTTTCAAATTCTCAATCCAACGTTCACAAAGAGAAAGGATACTTCGTAACGTCTCGCGAATATCGGCGATGACCGCGCCTATGCAGTGGCCAACAATCCCCGCAGTGAGCGGCGCGGTGTTTCCAGGAACGGAACGGCACGTACGTGAACCCTTAGGAGAACTGTTTGTGAGAGCTTTGCGCACATATACAAGGGGTCCAAGTAGTACGTACCATGAAACGTCTCGAACCCACCACCCATGCCCCCCTGATATTGCCTCTAAAGTCTCGAGACTCGATCGCGGCAGCCGTTTCCAAGAAAGTCGCTCAGCCCTCCAGGACTACAACCCCCCAAAATCCCGCTCCTGTCCCCACATCCTCCTTCCATTCCTGTTCTCCCGTAACGGCCGCATCCTCCCACCCTTTACGGCCTCAGTGTCTCGGTACGCCAATGGAACTCGAGTCTGACCTAACCAAACCTG